AATACAGTGGGCTGTACACACACACACTCATCCACTGCCGATGGCTTTCTCAGAGGAACAATATAGTACTGTAATTACAGCACCGGTTAACTATATTGTCCGCCTGGAAGGGTAATAACCAGTCGAGTGATATACATACATATAGACAACCTGTGAATAGGAGTATTTAAATAGCCAAAATATATGTGATTTTTCGCACAATTATTTTAATTTTATCTCTTTGTGATATTATTTTCAATAATTATAAAACAAGTATGTATATTGTTGTTTTGCAAGTAACATCTTTCTGCGACTTTCTATCTATACACTTGAGTATTTTTTTTTTTTTTTTTTTGCAAATATTTTCTTCACTGAAGGTAATAATGAGCCCATTATTGTTGGCCTGGAAAATGGAGATTCGTGTCGTGGTAGATTCATTCTAGTAAAAATCTATCAAGGTCTGCACATTTAACAACGAACAGACAAGAAGTCGGTTTAAGTGTAAAAACCAGACACGTTAACTTGTCCAATTTGAATAATCGTCGGTTTGTGTTAGCCCTGAATGGCAGAATCAAGTCAGTGTAGCAAAAGGAAAAACAACAACAACAACAAGAACTGAACGACAACAATCGAACAAATCATTTCCCCCAGACAAAGGCTCGAAAAATAAGCCGTTTATGTCGATTCCATGTAAATTTCATGATTCATGTTGTTGATTGCATCCTCTAGTGGATTGTCACGGTACTCCGTCACCGCTCCCTGTACTTAATCAATTATCTCCACACTGTCAATTAAATTTAAATGTTGCAAATTACTCACTCTTACGGGTTCAAAATCAAGTTTTCTTGAGGAAGAAAATGAACGCATCGCAAGAAGTTAGTAATTTTACTCAAAGAACCAGACACCAGTGTACGGTGAATTATCGTGTAATTAAAAAGTTCACATTTTATACGGATACCATGAAAACATCATGATCTCCGCTGCCCCATCTCTGTAAAAATTCAAAACAAACATTTGTTATAATATTATGTGCAGTATATATTTCCCTTTCAGCTTTACATCGTCTATGACGTCACTGAGAGATGACATCTCACGTTAGTAAGGTCACGTGAAACACTCAAACCAAACATGATTTTGATGCCCAACACTAAAATTATAAATATAACACTCGTTCTTGATTTTCTAAACGCACCCCGTAATGCAGATGATTGTGCATTTTAAATTTGGCGCAGCTTCTTCGAGTTACTACGCGAGTCTGGATCAATGGCACCAGACTGGCGTTGTAGTGATTTGCCGAATATTTAAACCATCCACAGTGTCGGTCTCTTGTCCAATTTAGCGACTTCTAAAGCGCTGTTAGTAATCTTGGCATCTATTAACTTGCAAAAACGATATTTTTTTAGTATTTGTAGCTTATCAATGTCCCTAATCAGTTTTAAATTTACTAAGGGACTTCGACAGGATCGGCTCTCATGGGGACCGTACTCCACAATCGACATCCACTGTCACTGACCACGTGGCCTAGCTAGTTTCGTAAATAAATAAATTATCATACATATCGAAAGTACTTCTGGTTATTCCTCAGTTTGTAAAAAAAAAAAAAAATAATTCCAATCGCCGGACGAATTTGAGTATATGATGAGAAAGAATAACATGCGTATTATTGATTCAGAAATACATTAACAAATACAGGAAGGAACGGAAGCTGTACAAGGGCCCTCTGATCGGATCGAAATCTTTAAAGAGCTTCACATAAAGTGATTGCCTAGGCAACTGATTGGATATGATGAGAATGAATCAACTTCCGATTAGGGGGGTAGTTTATCTTCATCAGTCGTTAATATTAGATGAAACCTCCTTAGATTCCCCTCTTAGAAATCCCTTAACTCCACTACCGTGATGTATACGACTTTGCAATTAATTGTGATGGAACGCAGTTCTTAATTTCATTTAGAATTCTAATCTCGCTTTTAAAATCCACTTTACATCGCACAAACGGGACAGTCCGAGCTCCAAGATTCACAAATCAAACTGGCCATGGGGCACAATCTAAACTTGTTCATTTATGAGTGGTTCATTATTTCAATGTCGGTTAGTTATACTCTTATACAGGAAGGAAGTGTGAACTACAATTAATCTTCGACGGATTTCAACCTATCTTTTTAAAACTTTGTATGCAGGATCGTTTCTGTGTGGTCACACAGAACGACAAACCACCCAGACTAATGTCGGGTGATGTTCGACAAACAGACTTCCAATGGACCATATACTTTGTTCCAACTAATTAACAAGTCGAGAGAGCAAATTGACCTCTGCAGCTCGATCGCGCTGCCACAGTCTCGTGGGGTCCTTCTTGTGTTTCCCTTTTTTAGGTTCCTCAGCAAAACGGTCATTCTGTTGTCTACATGGGACATTATGCATGCGTAGAATTGAAAGGGCCATCGAAGTTTGCCTCAGGCTAAGAGTCAGCGATCTGGCGTGTTTAAAAGACTAGTGGCCGACATAATTACAAGGGGTGGTACAAGCGAATGATGGATGAGACAGCCCAAAATTACTCAGCGATTTCTTTTTCAAAAGACAGCCACTTCAATAGAATCACCTCAAATCTACTATAAACGCGTCTTTACCCTTTTCGAGGATGCATATTAACGCAGAAGAACCGGCGATTGCATTGGGTATTATGTCCACGCTTAGTGAGCTAATAGGCAGGATGCGAAGGGGGATTCCGATCGTATCTCGCGAGTGGGTATCGATTTAATTATGTTTAAGAACTGTACACTCAGTGAACAAATAACCCGAAAATGACCGGCTATTATCCATTGAACAGCAAGGGTGTTTTTGTTACCATTGTTCGGGGCCATTCTTTGCCTACGCTTCCCATTTATTTCTCATTCAAACTACTGTAAAGACTGCACTTCCAATAATTTAAGTGGCTTTCTACTGGCCGAGCTAATTTTTTGTTTAACTAGCACAATACTTCAGTTTACCTAAGCAGCATTATCTGCTTTTCTGCCCATGTATGGGATCTGAGGTCAAAAGTCGAATGGTTCACCACCTCTGAGCTCAAAGCGCCGCGTTTCGTATATAAAACCAAACGTATTGTTCACGTCGCGTCTCTAACAAAAAACGGTCTATCGCGAGTAACACACTTTCTAGTGAATGATTTTCAGGATTTGCTTTCGTTCCTTCTCGATTCAGAGGCATACAATATAACCATAGTCCCCCTTGTGATTTAACACGGTACCACACCCGCTTCGCTCAAGCATCAGACGGAACATTTTTGTGTTGTTGTTGAAAGAGCGGCGGGGCTCGTCAAATTGTGACGGATTTACGCTCCCGACATCTGTCATGTTTTGAACGAGTGCTGCACGGTGCCAATCAGACAAAATATACCACAGCTTAGATGTTTTCTTTGCGCTGTTTTATTTTTGTTATGAAAGAATTCCAGCTATTATAGACTGTAACGTTTGTTATTTGTTTTTTGATTGAAACAGCGGACTGCTGCGAGATGGTTCTGTCGATCCCCTCCTTATCGCGTTAGTCGATCCTTACCAGGGATCCATTTCCAGTTCAGTATGACGAAACGCCCTATAATTGGTTATAATTGCATCTCTATAACTTTGGAGACAGTGTTCTTATCGCTGAAAGACTCATATTCTTCCAATCAAATTATCGGGTATTTGAGTCTAACGAGCGACGAATGAAAATACAAACAAGACGCATGAGCGCCAAGCCATGGATGGTTGCGGATACCTTCATGAGCGATCTACACCGGTACATGTTCCGAGCATGATATCCTGGCGTATACCTATCACTCGATGATTTAGGAGTAAATAACATACGAATGATAAGTGTATTGGTCAACATATCAACAGATTGGAGTGTTTAACTAACCACTCATCGATTTGTCTTTATTTATATATTAAGAACTTGTTAAACAGCTATCATGATTCGCTTGACTTTTAGTCTATTATCTGTTATGTAAATCAGAACAGCAACTCTAGCGTTTAAAAGTCGGATGGCATCCCTGTGTACATTAGCTGAGCGTCGTGGGAATCGGCTCTAAACACCTAGGTGCAAACATTGGTAGTTTATCACGGAGTTTGCGTTTAACTTGCTACTGTGTTACACATGGTTGTGTACGGTGCTGGTTGTTGAGGCGACGTTTGTCTGTGAAACTTTGCGAATAACTTTCCTATATAAACACATACAAAATAAACAGGATTGTCGGATTTGGGTGAAAACACCAATATGTCCATGGGATATGGAGCATGGCGGATATTAGTGCAGTTGTACAAAAGAGACGAAGTTTATATGAGCTATTCAAAGAATGGGTAACTGTTCCATATGCTAAGCAATGCATTTCTCTTTGATCGGGCCGTTAACGCTCTCTTAGTGGCGCCTGTACACTCACTAAAGGATGTCTGCTTTTTTTTAAAAAAAGGATGGCAAGTCGTGATGGATTATTTGTCGAGCCAATTAGCTCTGGCTTGGTCCGAGGGTAATTGATCACCTAAAGGGGTGTGTACTCATTGCAAATAACTCCTTTATCTTCATGAATAAAATTTTACAAGCCCATTCAGATTCAGCTTAAGCGCAGCTAACCCTTTTGAAATCGAGGCATGCTTGCGGGCATGTGACCATCGCATAGAAAGAGACAAAAGCTGTGTAGGTTACCCACCCATACTTTAACATAGACCGCATATAATTGCATTTAGATTGGCCAATCAACACTGTTGTTTATGAGCTAGCTAATCTTGTGTAAACTAGCCGGTTTTGCCAATCGCATGCGCAGAGGTACTTGGCGATGTATATTAGTAGTATTTATTCAACGCTTAGCAATTATAGAGTACCCGATTAGACGCGTCATACTCTAGCTCTTCGTTGATTGGCTATACCAGACAGAAACTAAAGTATACAATAATGTAAATGTAGGCGGCGTAGAACAGTGTAACCTTGCCTGTTTCAATAACCTCTATATTTTATATTTGCCTTATTGATGGTCACTTTTCCCCTTAGCAAGCCAAGGGGAACAACGGGCTATAGACAACCATCCACCATCGCTTTCTCTGTCGCCGCGAGAGAACGGGCCAGTTAAAGAGACGTTGGCGTTGCTCTACTTTGCTTTACGACGATGTCGCAGAAATCGTTAAGTCTCAGTAGCAACTCGGCTTTTAGTAAACCCGAAGCGTTACCAACTGCACAGACTTTGAGCCTCTCCACCGAAAACGCTGAAAATCATAGTAGTAACTCGACGGAGAGCACCACCGGTACAATGACAGCGACAGCTGCGACAACCGCTGCAACAATGACTTCGGCGAGTATAGCAACCGGCACTGAGAACATTACTTTTAGCGTCGCATCATTAATATCACATGCGGGACACGAGAACAGTAAACTTGACGATCAGTGTAGGGAAACGCGGCACCATCCACATTCTCCAAGTTCATCAACAATCCCTTCATCCTTCAGTGTGGAGGGCATTTTAAGTAAACCAGTTTCCTCAAGAGATACGAATTCCAAAGAGGAGATACCACTAACTCCTACAACCAAATCGTCGTCTTGGACGACGGCAACCTTCCCGTGGCTGGACTCATCATTCTCATCGTCAAATGGACGTAAGTACCATCATTATATACAACTGTAGTTATATAGTTTGTTGATGTTTGTAGTGTTTCGAAAAAAACATTGTTTGTGAGGCGTGACAATAGTATTGCAAGTAATGTGCCCAGTATAATTGTTTTGTGTTAAATTCAATGTTTTCTGAAATTTTAATTTAATATAATTTACACGTGTGTTTTTTAAAAAAAAAAAAAAAAAAAAAACATTGGCTTTTAGTAGTCGGCGTGTTTGGTTGTGGGAACGGGGTCGTTATTTCAAGGGCCTGTTCACTATCCACACACAGAGCACGATTTGATATGTCATTTTTTACCATACCAGATGCCCAGCAATTAAAATTACACGGAGATAGGCTTTCATCTGTCTCCAGTCGTACAGCCTTGTTTGTCTTGAGACAGGGCTTGGTAGCAGCGATCCACTCTTATCTCTTAGTAGCTATAGCTTCATGATATGTGGTCTCTGTCTCCTCCTGTAGGTTCATCACCTCCAAAAGTCTGCACTCTCAGGAAACACAAGACAAATAGGAAACCCAGGACTCCCTTCACTACATCGCAGTTGTTGGCACTGGAACGTAAGTTCCGTCAAAAGCAGTACTTGTCCATAGCCGAGAGGGCCGAGTTTTCCGCCTCGCTCAATCTTACGGAGACGCAAGTCAAGATATGGTTTCAGAACAGGAGGGCAAAAGCCAAGAGGTTGCAAGAAGCCGAACTCGAAAAACTTAAAATGGCTGCTAAGCCACTTTTACCTCCGACTATAAGTTTTCCATTTGCCAATGGCACTCAAGGGTTCTATGCGTCACCGGCGTACATGCGATCACACCTTGGCCAACCCATACATCTGCCAACATACGGCTTTTACCCGATACCAGCAGCACATGCCGGTTACGTGTACCCGTAGCTCTGTTTTATTAATCCGTCAATTTTGAACAACGTCGTCGTCAATAAAGAACAGGTGAACGCTTGGTTTTTGGAGACTTGAAACATACAGAGACTCGACTTCAAGTTAAAAACAATGTACGAATATATATATACATATATATATAGCGAAATTATGTGAAATCGCTAAGAGACCTTTATATATTGGACTGGCTAGCGATTGAAGCTAGCCTGTTTGTTGTGTAACTCTTCACACAGAGAGCCGATGTCGGTAAGACTGATTTAAAAATAACGATGATGAAATGTGTTTATTTATCATAAATTGTGCAAATATTGTCAGCTGTAGCATTTCGTTATCAAAAACCAGTAAGGTGAACGGCCAGATTTGGCCTAGTGAACTTATTAACAAAATATTGTCAGCTTTCGGAAGTACGTTGTGTCTTTTTTATAATTTTGTTATCAACGAGATCCAGTTCCGAGTTTAGGCACACATACATTATTTCAATATATGTTATTATACGACCAGATTTACTCCAATTTTGATTTGTATTAAATTTGGTAAAACTGTCTTCAGCTGGCGATACATACCTTAATGTTTAAAGTTTGAAAATACCTTCATTGCAAAGTGTATTTTGAATACCAAGTTGGATTGGTTATTCTATGTTGGTCTAACCACTTCGATTAGTTTGTTTACTTTGTTGGGAAAGCGGAATGCACTTTAGTGGACGATGTTCATCTCTGTTTCTCAATATCCCTTTTTTTCTGCCAGAAACTGTAAACAATTTGTATTCAGTCCGACATTAAAGTATGGGAAGCACCCTGCTGGAAAATGAACCATTTTGACTTATGGCTAGTTGGTTTGTAGAGGGAGCGCGCATGAAAACACCATTTGTCTGGTTCTTGAATGACCACGGACCTTAGTGGGAAGCGACTCAGATCGCAGAATACAGAACGAGAATGACGGCCCGCGGATTACCATAATGTCGTTAACTTCACAAAGCCTTCCATTATACGCACACCGTATACTTGGTGGTCTGTAGTCGGTCATAGAAGGTGAGAGATCGGCGAGAATTCTATTCCGGTGATAGTAATGTAATTTTCGTGGATGGTTAGACAATCTTACGGTGAAGTTGTTCACAACAAAGGCCTGTAAGCCTTGTGGTAGCCGCTGAAAGTGCGACTGAATTCTCGCTGTGACTATCGTCTCGATGCCAAAGAGGAAAATGTTATTTCTGTGAACTTGATCCAATAGTTACGAACACAACAAGCCTAACAGATAAAACTAAGACAAATTCTCCAAGTCTATAATTTGGGCCTTATTTTGTAGAAATTACGTTTTGTAACTTCGGATATTCTGAGAGTAAGAATATAGTATATTTAAATTCCTTCGTTATTTTAACTTTTGTCAAAATTGTAAAGACATATAATAAAAATAAAAACAACAACAACCGCAACAACGCACATAATTTGTTTGTTGGTGTTTTCACTAAGAATACTGACGAATGATATATTTACAACTATGGCATCCCGAGTCGATGTTATCCGGACAAAATTGGTTCACGGCTCCTTGTTAATAGTTGTAATTTCTTTTACATAGAGTAGACACTCCCGTAATTCGAACAAGTCGAATTTGATATTAATAAACCCCTCATGTTTAAATGTTTTTTTTTTTTTAATTAATAGCGAAATCACTCACTAATTAATATGAAAACAAGCCAGTGACGATTATTGTAGCACATGGACACAAATACATCTGCTCTGGCCGCTAAAAGAATGTTTGAATAACGGAAACACATCGAGAAAAAAAAATAACTAACCCTAATTGATTGCCTAATGCTTAGAGAACAAAAGTGTATGTCACATAATTCGAAATCGTTCCATTCTATTCCGACTAATCAATTACCTATTCTTTCAGTCGAACTTGGAATTAATTTGGTTACTTGAAACAATCAACAATAAAATCTGATTACGGAGGGTGAATAGGAACAACGGCCAATCGACTTCGCGGCTTACTTCAAAACACCATGCTTTAATCAACAGCTAACTCTTTCACTAGCTACTCCGTTGTTTTCAAATCGGTCAACCATTTCTACCGGGGCTCGTTTTCACTCTATTCAGTGCAACAGGTTGTCACACAAAAATAACTAATTCTGCACTGTGTTCTATCTTATACTGTATTGTGAATTACTACCGAGGTTATTTTAATTATTAATCGCACTGTGGATAATAAGATTCAGTCAGTGTACCCGGAGCGGAGTTGTGAATCCGACTCGGAGACCTTACTGCGTGTGTAAACTCAGATACGAACGATGAGCCATTCCCCAGACGGGATTCTTTTAGCTGCGTTTACAACGCATTTCGCACTGTGAGTCGGTCAATCAACACTCGTGAGCAGTCGATGGAGGTATATTATCTTTAGTATTAGTAGCGGCTGCACTTAAATTGCAATAATCAGACTGTCATACTGTATGTTATGCCCTGACTAACGATTATCATCTTTCAACACTGAATTCGATGCACGCAGTATGGTAACATTTCTAAGCTATGTTTTATTGTGGATGCATTTGTTCAGTGTATTTTAAAAAGCAAAACCACGGGACTATCACCAAGCTCACGTTTGACTCTTTCCCCTTGAAACGTTGCGATATTTTCAAGCGTTAAATCGGTATGTCCAGTAGCATGATGTTTTAGAAGATCTAATCCATTTTTATACTGTGTATCACTGGAAAAGTCAGATTTTCGAGTACGACATCATAATACAATACCCACATCTGATGTGTACTATTCAGTGGGTGTACGATCTTCGTGTAACGCTGTTGCAACACACGGGCATCGCTGAAACCCCATCCCTGTCGAGTTGAAATCATGGTTATTAATATCCCACGTCATAAAAAAAAACACATAATTTTGAACCACACGCTGTTGTAATACATTAAACGTTAAACTAATTTTTAAAACAAACAAAAAAAAATTGTGATTTTGTTACCATGACAATATGTTCACATTATTTACTCAGTGCGAGTATCTTGATGCCAACTTGTTTTTTGCTACAAATTCGAAATATTGTCGAATTACCCAAACGTTCGATAATGTTGAATTTCAACTCGGGGGTAAATCAAAACTCTTTCGTGACCCATGCAATTTATACCATACTAGATAGTATTTAATGTGTAATTTTTGTCATCTCATAAATATAAAAAAAAGGAATTATTTGACAAATATGTATGGTGTTCATGGGATGATACTCAGTCGATTGTTTGTTTTACGACTCATTTTTTAACTAGAAAACTTTCCAATGTTATTCAGAACTTGATAGTAAAGATCAAACAAACGGGTCTATGTCGAGAGTAACAAACTTATGGTCTTACCCAAGCGTGTATCGGCTGAAAAGCGACGACCCCGTCAGAGCGACGGCAGTTTCTACATATGGTTAAACTAATCGTGGCTTAACAGACAGCCGCATTACTCGTGTACCAATGCAGATATATGTGCGGATAATTTTGTTGGAAGGTAAACGTACACACTGAAGCGATAAAGCCACAATGGAAGATACCACAGACGGAGCGTAACACCGACGTTTTTCTGAGTCGTTAAGCCGATGTTGATTTTTTTTAACGCGGGGCTTGATGGTGTCTTTACATCTACTAGTCAATATAGTTTGACGGTGTATCACGAGGCTAAACGGTGAAAGTCATTAAAGTGAAAGTCCCTGCGACAGACCGGAATATATGTCATGGGACGGAATTAAAAGCTCGTACGGGAGTGGGTCGTTATAGACGTTTAAATGGCGTTAATGTCCAAAACGGTTGAAGTGGGAGTTGGGGTCTCTGTTGTGTGCTTGTCATCGTAACATTATCGCTATGAGGAGCAATACATTATTGCACTTTGATTGTTACTATATTTTATTAGTGCTGTCCCGCCTTTGTGTACTGAGATGAATCACCTACGTTGACTGACATCCTTTTTTTCTCTTTATAATTGACCATACGCACAAGAATCATAAAAAAGTCTGTCCCCCGCAAAAAAAAAAAGAATTCCGGTCAATCCTGCGGGCAAAACAGAACACAGTGGAATCGAACTGCCACTGAGGGGGTGTATCGCATATTTTAGTAAAAAAGATTCATTGCACATATCAGCCACTTATGTAAGATACGAACACAATTTCGCCGGTTGTCATATCGCACATTACACACATTGTCGTCCCCCGTCAAGTCATGTCCTCAACAACGGTTGGAAATACATATCACAGGAACAAAGTTCGTCTGATGTTGGTGTGTTTTAACGTCGCGACTCGTGTCGCTGATAACAGGCACTCTATACATCCAAATCAACGGTATGATTCGTAACGAAAATACGAAGAATATATTCTTCTGAGAGAGAAAAAAAGTATTGAAATTAGTTTAATGGGTAACAATGCATATCACCTACTTTATAAAAATAAAAAAGAAAGAGTCTGTTGTGGAACAAAAATAAAATAAACAAAAATCGTCAGCACTTCTTAGCAAATTAGCACGCCTTGTTGAAATTGATTGTAATGCAGAGATATTGAAAGTTCTGCTACATTCCTTGATTTATCGTCAAAACGCTCGAATGTGAATCTCAACATGCGTTCTTCAATACGTTGGGGAGTATTCAGCTAACGCCCACGTCACTTCCCTTGATGTTTCTTCTAAGTGCGCAACTGTGGAACATTTATTAATAAAATGAAAGACAAAACACTAATTATGACAGATCAGGGCAGTTGAGCAATTCATCAAAACACCGACGCACGTGTCGGACACTCCGCCGGGGTAACACAATAATCACAAGCCCGCCGATCTTCTATTCCACACCCTAAATATCCAATTTGCGATTTTTTTATTTTTGTGTGTATGCACAACTCAATTATTACTATAATATTAATTTCAGTTACAGAAAAGTTATATGTAGGCGGATCTACAAAACATTTATTCGCATTCGATATGATTAGAATATATTAAATATGTTTAACTTTTCCAAAGTTGGAAAAGGCGGCTGGACACATATTTGGAAAAAAGAAACTAAAAAAGCACCTAATCATAAAACAGTCATTTTTAAAACGAGTTACACTTTTTATTGTTGATGCATTGAATACTAAGCTCAGAATTGTAAATCCCGGAATTTGTTCCCGTGATACCCGAACACAAATAAATTGGAACAGTCTGCCGTATGCGCATCGCCAATCACAAAGATGAGTGGTGAAGAAATCACGTGACCACACTTAATTTATTTATAGACATAGTCGAAAGACACTGCACTGATCACGTGATCACCATCAGTAGAGAGAATATGTGTACTGCAGGGTGAAGGCCGGTCGTCATTTTTGAAGATGGAAAACATTTTTAAAATGATTTTTGTTATATTGACATTAATATTAATATTAAATTAATTTTCTCAATACAGACCACCGGCCCAAAAGTTTACAACATTGAAAATAAATTGTTGCGTGACAACTGTGACGTTTACATATTTCAATGAGGTAACATTAATATTAAAAATATATGCACCATTACTTTTATATTGAAAAACAGTTCCCGCCAACTCAATGTACACCCAGTTCGACACAAGGGTCATCTTCAAATGCCGTTTGAGTAAAAC